GGCACTGGTGTGCTCCAGGAGCCCCTCGTGGCACCGGCTCTGACCATGGCAGGTGGCTGTCCCAGCAGATGGCCGAGCTGACGCAGCAATGTGCCGAGAGACGCCTCCAGGAGGAGAGGTCCATGAAGGAGCTGGTGGAGCAGGTGATGGAGGGGCACAAGAACACCCAGGTGGCGCAGATGAAGCTCCTAAAGGGCCGTCGGCAGGCAGGTAAGGCGGGGCCAGGTGCCCTTGAGGAAGGCTGGGTTTGAGAAGGCAGCCAGGGGAGGCACCCCTGCTGAGCGCCTGCTGGCTGCTGTCTGCCCGGCCCCCTCAGTAGCCCTCTTGGCCCCCAAGTCCAGGAGGTGAAGGAGGAGAGCCAGGAGCTGCTGCAGCGCAGTGCACAGGAGGCCAGGGAGGAGCAGAGGCGGCGCTGTGAGCTCATCTCCCAGCTGCGAGCCCTGGAGACACAGCCCACGCGCATGGGCAAGCTCGTGGACCTGACCCAGGTGAGGACACAGCCCCTGGAGCCCATGCCCCGTCCCACGATCTCGTGGAGTCCCCCCAGGCCTTGCTGTGCTTGGCACTGCCATGGGAGGGCATGTCCAGAATCCCCACCAAGGCCCAAGGTGGTCTTCGCCCCAGCCAAGATCCACCTGACCACTCATGCCCAGCTGTGGGCTCCATGCCCACTGTGCCTGAGGCCTGGGTCTGGCCCAAGCGTTCACGTTGCTGTTGGGGAGACCTCTCTGACCCCAGGGGTGGGCAAGGTTGGCTTCACAGAGCTGTGTGTTGAGGGAGGTCCTGGACACCCCAGGTGGGAAGGGCAGTGTAGGGAGAGTGCAGTACACAAAGACCACATGGGGTCTGGGGCTGCAGAGGGATATAGGCTGGAGCAACTGGGTGGCAGACACGTGACACAGGCCCTACTGAGCAGAGGGTCCAGGTCTCTGGAAGGCGTGAGGAGCACCAGCGCTGGGGCCCAGGAGGTGGCTGGGCATGCTGGCCGTGGGGTGGCTCCTAGCCTGGGTCCCCACCCCCTCATCCCCCCAGATCCCCGGGTATGGCCTGGAAGGGGAGATGTCCATCGTGGAGCTACGGGAGCGGCTGGCCCGACTCAAGGAGGCCCAGCAGCGGGAGGAGGAGGAGAAGCGGGACCAGATCATCCAGGGCAAGCGTGCCAAGGGCCAGGAGCTGCAGAACACGCTGGAGCAGATCTCACTGTGCCGCTCGGCCATGGGGAGGTCTGCGGCCTTGAGGTCGGTGCTGCCCCGCAATTCCTTCCCCACCCCCTACTATTTTATTAGATGAGTTTCAGGCACACAGAAGTGATGGGAAACCACACAGTGATGGCTTAGATGCCCATGACCTAGATTCTGTCGCTTTGTAACTAGTTCACAGGCATGACCTTCGCCATGCACTCCATCTAGCTAGCTAGCTATTTTTCTGTGTTTGCGGAACCATCTGGAAGTAGTTGCCGGCATCTGACACTTCATTCCTAAATACTTTGGGGTGCATCTTCTGAAAAACAGACGTTGTCCTACATAACCACAACACAATGACATAACTAGGAAATTCAGCAGAAATTCCCGATCATCTGAATATCCTGTTTGTACGTTTCTCTGGGGCTCCTATGACTGTTTGCTGTACCTTTCTTTCATTTTGAACCAGGACCTAGTTGAGACTCACACGAGCACTGGATTGTGAGCGTCTCCACTCCCTTTTCATGGACAGCGTGCACACACACCCCTTTCTGTTGTTTGTTTGTGAAACACTGTAGTGACTTTTGCAGCCCTGTGTGGCTGTCCCGAGGCAGCTCAGTCAGGCATGGGCTGGTGTCATCCACAGGGTCAGGCTGGCCTTTGGGCCCTGGCCTGATCCCATGGGGAGGCAAGGCTGCCCCAGGGGAGGTGGCACCCAGCCCTGTCAGAGCATAGGCTGGTTCAGGGTCTGGCACACAGGGCTCCAGAGAAAGTGTCTCAGTATAACTGGGGAGGGGTGAACAGATGAAGGACAGTCACAAAATCACAACTATTGAGCCTGAGTGTCTGCTGCTCTGGTTACAGCTCAGAGAGGGCCTATGACAACTGCTGGGGGCTGCTGGGGGCTGCCCAAGGAGAGCTGGCTGCCCACCCAGCAGGTCCCCAAGGTAGCATGCACCTGGGAGACCTCACCACTTACCAGCTGCTTGACAGATGCCAAATGCAGTCTAGTTGGTATTGGGGAAGCTCGAAGGGTCCAAGGCAGCTAACAAAGCTCCTAGAGTCTCCTGCGTGCAGCCAGGCCCCATGGCGTTAATTCCCTAGGGGAGTTTTAGTGGGTAGTCAGACTGGGGTCAGCCAGGCAGCATGGTGGCCAAGGGAACAGCACCCGCATATGCCCTGTGCTGCTATGCATGCTTAAATCAAAAACGGCTGGAAGAGTCTACATAATGCAATCTCATTGGAGGGAAGGGAATCGCCTAATATGGGAAAGGTTTGCAAAGATAGCCCCATGTTAGCAGCGGTTACCTCTAGGCAAGAGAGGGGTGAGATAAAAGGGGGCTTTCGCTTTTTTACCCCAAGTACATACATAGTTAATACACATGCAATGCTTTTTTTAAAATGTTAGTATAAAGAGCAGAAAAGGTAGAGGCGCTGGGGCACCCCCACTGGAGCAGTCCTCCGAGGGCCTGCGTCGTCCCACCCCCACCCCCCCCAACGGAAATCACTGCGGTTCACCTGTGTTCTGAGCCCCTCCTAATCCGGCCCTGTTGCCCGCCCAGGTGGGAGAAGAAAGCGGCGGCCCCGAGGGCGCCCTCCCAGGACAAGCGCGTGCTGGAGCTGCAGCGCAGGATCGAGGAGAAGGCGGCGGAGCGCCGAAGGCAGGAGGCCCTGCTGCACGTGGCGGCGCCGCGGGCTGCGCGCCCCAAGCCTTGGGTGAGCCCCAGCACCCGGTGGGGAGGCTGGAGGGCGGGAAGGCCATGAGGTGGGGGTGTGGTGTCGGAGGGGAGCGGCTCGGCCCGCACCCAACCTGCCTGCTCGCCCGCCAGCCGCAGGCTCAGCTGGATGCGCAGCGCTGGAAGGAGCTGGAGCGGAGCCGCGAGCGCCGGCAGCGGGCGCTGCAGCAGGGAGGCTCCGCCTGCAGGCGGGCGCGCCGCCTGGAGGCCGCCTGAACCCGGCTGGCACGCCCCCGGACCTCAAGACCCCCTTCGGAATAAAGCCTGTGGCCTGCTATTTGCGCCTCCTATTCCTCCTCCGCGCGTCCTCCTTTATCTCTCTGCCCCCACGCCCCTCCCCGGCCTAGTCTACACCTGCCCAGAGCAGATTAAATGCAGGATGCCCAATCATTGCGACAGCCTTGTGCCAAAAAAGTATGCGCTCTTGATCTGGAATTCCAATTTGTGTGGGCGTCCCGGATTCCATGTGCTAAATCTGGCCACCCTAGCCTTTCCCTACGCCCCAGCGCAAGGCATTCGTGGCGCCCTCTCTTCGGAGCTCCCAGAGCCCCCTCTGCACGTGCAAACCTGGTATCTCCACTCTCCATCCAGAATCGGGTGGCTTAACCTGGGGACCCCCAAGACTGGGTGTGTGATTGTGAGCGTGTGTTTGGTCAGACAAGTGGCTAGGATTCTTGAGCCACTAGGAACTGCCCTCCTCATGCCTTGTCTCATGTAAGCCTCACAGCAATGGGGGTCAGTCAGGCTGGGGATGTAGGGAGCGCTCCCCGGCCCCTATTCTGCGAATGAGGCTGCTGGTGCTAAGGTGAAGTGGCTTGCCAGGAGAGCGGGGACCCAAAGCTAAGCCTGGGTGACTTCGGAGCACCTCCTGGCCTTCTCCAGCATCACCGAAGAAATAATATTCTTTCTCCTGGGTCCTGGGTCCCAGCATCAGGCCGGGTGTGGCCTCGAGGACAGGCTGGCTGAGTGAAAGCCTGCTGTGCGTCAGCTCCCAGGAAGGCGAGAATATGGGCGAGCGAATATAGGGTGAGGGGCTGGAAAGGAGGAGCTGAAAACCCCCAGGTGGGTGGATGCCCAGGAGAGAGATGCATCCCCCCCCACCCTCATCCTTCTTGGGTCTGCGGAGAAGATGGCACCTCAGAGGGGGAGGCTGGACCCCCACGGCACATTCAGATCAGGAAGGTGGGCATCTGGAAGTGACAAGAACAGAGTAAACAGCAGAGTTCCTCCCAATATTCTGAACCACATCAGAACCCCAGGACTTTCCCACAACCCAGGTTGGTAAAAAGAGTAATTTCCCACCCCTTGGTCCAATGAGAACTGGGAGCAGATTAAATTTTATTTAAAGAAATAAACGTGACATTTCTCATATCCTGTGTTGTGTGATTTAAACCCATTTCATATACCAAGGGAATACATTGATGGTGATCTGTCCAGAGACCCCTCAGGAGATCCAAGGGTTTCAAAAGAAGAATTATTATCCTCCCAGAACTGGCAAGCCAAAGGGAGGGCGGACTTCAGGACAGGGCTGATCCAGGAGCTCTGTCTCCAAGCTGGTCGCAGCTCCAGCCTCACCACATCCAAAGGGAGAAGGGCCACCTATTCCTGGCACTCTCCAGGAATAGGTGATAAACCTTTGTCCTTGAAGCCAATGTCACTGGCCTGAAGTGAACATGCTTTGCTGAGCCAGTTCCTGCCATGGGGGTAGGTCTGCATGGGTGCCCACAGCAAGCCCTGTGACAAGAGAGGGAGAATTACCCTCCACCTATCAGACCAGCCTCTGGAGCAGAGGGGACAGAGGTTGTGGCCCAAAAAATTCAGCTGCTATTGACAATGATGCTGGTTGGCAGTCCCAAGGTCCCTACCTGCCCTCCTGTACTGGTCAGCTGTTCGGAGCTGCCTTGAGAGCACCCGACCTCCTGCTCCAGACCGACCTGGGTGGGAGCAGGCCTTGGGCCATCCCCTGAGGTTGTGGCCAGGGGCAGGCTTTGCATGGTACGTTGACGGCAAAATATCTTCCGGTATCCATGTTCCTTGCCTTGTGACCTCCCATCAAGAGGCGGAGTCTATTTCCCCCAGCCCTTGACCTGCTTTGGCCAATAGGATGAAGACGTGGCTGTGTGCCAGTTTAGAGCTCGGGCCTCCAGTGGCCTTGGAGCTCCCCCTTGTTCTGGAACCCTGCCCAGCCCCAGAGTGAGCATGCCCTGAGTGGCTGTCGCCTTACAGCCGATTCTTAGACCACCCCCCCTGCATTAGCCTCTGACCCATTAGTCGAGAGAGTGCCTCGGAAAACTGAGGCCGGATGGAATGATATCTGTAAAGCTCTCTGGGGGGGGGGGCGTCTCAGCCTGACTGGGACCTGATGGAATGATATCAGCTGTCTCCCCTGGGAGGACATGTAATTATGTCTTGGGGCAATGTGGTGGAGTACGAAGGCATAGCATTTGCTGGAGTACATTGGGCAAAGGTAACTGGAAAAGGCCTTAAGGCGCACCAGTATACACGGTTAGTGACTGACAGCACAGCAGTTTACTTCCTTGAAAAGAATCAATAAAAACCATGTGTTGACCCGATTCAGTGGCTCAGTCTATCTCTGAAGGCTGAGTCCCTTGGTCTCGCTCTTAAATCTTACTTTTGTCTCTTGTACTTATTCAATCTACGCCGCCCCTCTCGTGTCCCATTTGCCCTTGCCACGCTGGACGTGACAAGTGGCCTGCAGGGATGCAGTGCCGTGTGGAGGATAGCCAGCTGGCCCAGCGGAGGCCATCATCCCCACCACCCTGCAAACCAGCCCAAACTAACTTGCAGATGAGCAACAATAAATGCCTGTTTGTTTAAAGCACTGAGCTATTAGGTTTGTTCTGCAGCAACAGGTAACTGCCATGCCCTCAAGAGCCGAAGACACCTGCCTCCTGCTCCCTGCACAAGCCCTTGGAGGGAGAAGCAGGCCTCCTGGGCCAGCAGGCCAGCCAGGGGGAGATAAGGTCCAGCTGATGTGAGAAAGCTGTCTGGGCCACCTAGGGAGCTGACATTCTGCTTAAGTGTATTTTCTACGTAAGTGCAGCCAGAAGACCGGCACTGACAGTATCTGAAACTCTCCTGGGTGGGGGGCTTCCTTTAGAGAAAGTTAAAAAGCACATCCTCACGCCTCATCCAGAGATCCAGGTTGGGAGGCCCAGGAATCCGCACTTAGCTGAGTGGTACTGCGGGAGCACTGAGGCCCCTTTTCTCTAAGCTGGGGCCGCTCAGGGCCAGAGGGAGGCACTACTTGTGAGGGAGCCAGGGATGCTCACACAAGTTCAGTGTTAAGTGAGGTTTGGAGGCAGCTTTTGAGTACAAAAGTGGTATTTTTCATGATTTTTTTTTCAACATCACATCTTCAATGTGTTAAAGTTACAAGTAGAAAACGCTACCTTTTCTTAGGTTGTGAAATTCAAACTACAATCTTATTTATAAAACTTCTCATTTGTAGCTATAATTTTGATTAGTCATGTATAGTCCCATTTATAAGCTGAAATCCCCTTAAACATTTAAACTGCATGTATACACATAGAATCTAAATTTATATTTTAGGGGCTGGCCGAGTGGCGCGGTGGTTAAGAGCTGGCTTGGGACGCCAGAGGGCTCTGGTTCAGATCCCACATATGAGGGCCTGGACCCGGGCTGCCGTGGGTCGCCGGTGACTGTGTAACCTGCAGCTCCCTGCTGCAGCGGGCTGCCATAAGCTACATGTGTAGCCGGCAGCCAGCGTGAGTGGCCAGCAGCCACCGTGAGCAGCCGTCCAGAGGCCGGTGACTGATCTGCCTCGCCCGGGAAGAGCTCAATGATGGTGCCAACTTGGACCAGTGAAGCAACATCCTCCACAACTACACTGAAGAACAAAACAGCAACTTGCCTGTTCCCCTTCCCCCATTCCCCAGTGCCGTTCTCCTCCCTCAATTTCCCAATAAAATCTTTAAAAATAAATAAATATATATATATAAATAAAAATACATTTATATTTTAGCATTTTAGTTGTCTGCCACCAAGTATTTAAGAATTTCTATAGATGTTTAAAAGTCTACACTTCTCTTAAACTTGTAAATTCTCTTTAATGTTCTAATTATGATCACAAACTTTGGAAAATCTTGTACCTTCTAACTTAAAATCACTATCAAAATTAAATACTGAACCACATAGTTCACACTGGAAATCAAGTTTATCTGATACTCTACTATGCCAAATTCTCTTATAACTACATCAAGTTTTAAACACAGAGATTGCTTATAAACTCAACACCAAAATATTAATGTCTGGTTTTTATTTGCTTGGTCATTCCCATACATGAGTCAGCCTTCTGGGTTAAAGACCCCCTCAACAGTCCATCCCAAGGCATTTGAAGTGACCGCCTCACTGCCTGAGGGTGCCTAGGGACCAGAGATGATGGCGGTGGCCTGAGATCTGGGTATTCACTGAACAAAAGGGGCTGGCATGCACCTGTGCAGTGCTGTGCTGAGTCCTCCAGTTCTCCTTCTTCCTCGGAGGTAGGTACTGTTATCCCCATAGGACAGGTGATGGAACTGGTGGGACTTGCTTAAACGATGGAGCTGGGATTCACAGTCAGGCAGGAGGGATGCAGGGCCTGTATCCTTGACCCCTGGAGTTGCATCAGAGGCCCCAGAGGCCTAGAGAGCTCCAGGCACCTTCGGCGAGACCTGGACGAGATGCTCCTCCACGGACGGGTTCAGTCCTTCCGTTCCTGACACCCACTGCCTTCGGGATAACCCAGACTCTTAACCTGGCATCTGGACCAGGTTCCTAACCTCCAAGATCTAATTGCCTCCCCCCACCCACACCAGTCCCTACCTCCTGGCACACTGGGCAGCCTTCAGTTTCCTGGACATGGCAGCCCATCTCTCCCCAACTGGGTTCCCTCCACTTGGAACTCTCTTCTCCCTTCTAGTCCTTTGAGTTCTCAGCTCCGAGGTCCCTTTCTCCGGGAAGCCCTCCTAAGTCCTGCTTGAGTGCCTCCTCTGGGTTCCCGCAGATGGACCGGGCTGTGCTTCCCTCCTGTCTCCGCCACCAGGCTGGGAGAGTCCAGGAACACAGGGCCAGACGCCAGCTCTGGGCCTGGCACCTCGGGGGGGGGTTGCCGGTGCCCTGGGGAAGCTGCAGATCCAGGCCCAGATTCCGGCTGATGGTAGAGACCCCAGGCACAGTGCTCTCAAAAGCCTCACTAACGGGAGGAAACTGACGCCGGGAGAAGAGTGGGAGCGTGCAGGGTATTTGCGCCGCGGGACGGGTGGCCTGAATTAATGGTCAGCTGTGAGCTGTCCGTCCGCCGTTGTCAGTCTGCAGACCACAACTCCCGAGAGGCCTTGCGGGCGAGCGGTTGAGCGCCGACCGCGACTCTCGCGAGAAGACGGGAGCTTGAGCTCACGGGCGTAGGCGGGGCCGGAACAAGGCGCTTTTCAAAGTGGTAATAGATGGTTTTCTTATCCAATACAATTGAAAATATACCTCCTCGACCCGTAGAACGCGGGAGTAGGGGCGGAGGCATCCAATGGGGATGCGAGGGGGGCGGAGCCGTAGCCTCCTGAGCGGAAGTGGTTCTCTATTGAGGCGGCGGCGTCTTGCTGGAGGGTTTCTCCGCAGCAGCTACCGAAGGTGCTTGGTAGCTGGAGTGCGTCGGTGGTGGCGTCTGCTGGACTAAACCAGTTCCAGGTAGGTCCATGCTTCGCGGGGAGGGAGCGGCAAGCCAGGGCCGGGCAGATTCGGGGTTCGGGCGGCTTCGCGGCTCAGGGAGCCGCCTTGGCGCAGCCGACCCCACTCGGGCCCCGACGCCCGGCCGGGCCTCTCCTGGGACCGCAACGGGCTCGCCCATCGTCCGCGCGGCTACACGACCCTGGTTCGGCGCGTGCAACAAAAAAGTGCGGAGGCCTCTCCCTGGTGTTTCGCTGGTGGGGCGGGCAGCGGCCACGGTGCTCAGTCTGTGAAATAGCCAGGGAAACAGAGGCTGGGATGGGGAGGTACGCGCCCAAGGTCACTCGGGGAGTCGGGCAAGGCGGCCCAGGGCGGGGGGACTGTGTGGGCCGTGCGGGGGAGACCTAAGCAAAGGTTTTTGTTCCCCGCCAACAGCGCTTCCTTTGTGTGTTCGCCGCCCCGCCATCGTGGGCCTGCGAGCCCGCGCGAGCCGCGTGGCGGAGCCTCCTGTGGACTTGGACGCGGCTGGGGGCGGTGGGAGTTGGCCCAGGGGGGCGCTCAGCCCGGGGCCGGAGCATAGTAAGTCCTCAGCTTCCGGTGGTTGGTGGAACCCGTGACTGCTGGGGCCCGTGGCCGAGGCCCCTCCCCTTGGGTCCCTGAAGGTTAATCAGGGTCTTACACTGAGGTTTGAGATTTGAAACACTGTGTTCAGTGAATGCCGTTTTCCACCCTTTGACTCGTTGAGGGAGGAGGGGAGAGAGCTCAAGAGTCTGGAGGAGACTGGAGCCCTCAGTAGCTGTTTTTGTGGGGTTTTGCCTTTTGTCTTATCCTTATCCGTGCCCATCGACGTTCACAGCCATACCTTTGTTCTGCTTCTGCGCCAAGGCAAGTCCTCGGAGCCAGAGTTAGGGTCCGAGCTCTGCAGCCAGCCTAGGTTGCCTAAATGGTTGGGTGACTGAGGCAGTCTGCCCAAGGTCACACAGACCACGGAGCGAATCGAAAACCTCGGTTTCCTAATTGCAGGATTAGGCCTTTGAGTTTAGTGACCAGGAGTTTTGTGACCTCTGGTAATGAAACGGACAGACGTTGAAGGAAACCTTTTTATATTTTTTTCTTTAGTGATTTTTTTTTAATGGGTGGGGCGAGACATGTTGGGTTCAGTTCTATCTATGAATTTGAGGTGAGATGGGAATATTCAAGTTCCCATCAAGAAAGATGTATTATTGCTGGCTTTTGTATTGCCTGAACTTGAGCTTCCAACTTTTATTCAAAATCTTGATTTAAGGGCCGGCCAAGTGGCCATTGGTTAAGAGTTGGCTTGGGATGCCAGCTCTGAGCAGCAGGACCCTGGTTCAGATCCTACATGAGGGCCAGTGACGCTGCGCCCTCTACAGCTAAGATGGTGAAAAACAACTCAACCTGGAGCTGGGCTGCCATGAGTCTCCGGTAATGGCGTAGGCTGTAGCCCCTGCTGCAGTGGGCTGCTGTGAGCTACCGTGAGTGGCTGGCAGACAGTGTGAGCTGCCGTGAACGACCGTCCAGTGGCAGGTGAGTGACTGCCTCACCCGGGAAGAGCGCAATGATAATACCAACATGGGCTAGTGAAGCGACGTCCTCCATGACTAGACTGAAAAATAAAAGGAGAGCTACTTGTCTGTTCCCCTTCCTCGATTTCCCAATAAAATCTTTTCAAAAAAAAAAAAATCTTGCGTTAATACAGTTTTAACAACCTTTTTACAATGGTCACACACACACACAGTTCTCCTAACTGCACTCTCCATGAAATTTTAGTGCTGCTTGCATACTGTGTGCCTTTTTATGTACTGTATGCATGTCTATACTTTGTCCATAAAAAGAGGGAGATTTTTTTGCCCCCATTTGAGGATGCATACTTTAATATTGTAAGTCAGCACATTGTTGAGGTTGTGTGTGCCAGGATTCCTGCTTGGGGTACAGCAGTGAACAACATAGGCCTGATGCAGGACCTAGGGGGGCTGAGGCGTGAGGGTGGAGGGAAGGAGTGAAATTCCCTGAGGTTGAAATACAAACTGTTCAAGATGGTCCTAGAGAGGTAAGCAGGATCCAGGCCCAGGTGTGTGGTGTGCCTCCCACTGAGGGAGTCAGAATTTGTCTAAAAGCCAAATCGGAAATCACTAAATTGAGTTCTAAGCAGGGAAGTAACACCGTTAGCTTTGCATTTTAGAAAAGTCACTGTGCTACGAGAAGCGTGGCTTAGAAAGGTGCCCGACACTGGTGGCCTCGGGACCAGTTAGGAAGCGGGAAAAGGGTAGCTTGGACCAGGGAGTGACAGCCAGTCAGAGCAGTTTTTTGTTTTTTAAATTCTATTTTTCTGTTTGTTGTTGGTGAACAGGAGTACAATTGATTTTTTTTTTTTGATTTTTTTTTTTAGTTTATTGGGGAACAGTGTGTTCCTCCCAGGACCCATCAGCTCCAAGCCAAGCTACCATCCTTTAGTCTTAGTTGTGGAGGGCGCAGCTCAGATCCAAGCCCAGCTGCAGCCCCCAATCCATTTGCGGGGGCAGCCCACCATCCTATGTGAGAGTCGAACCCAGTAACCCTGCTGCCAAGAGCACGCACTCTAACCAGCTGAGCCATTTGGCTGCCCGTCGGCAGCTCAGCTCAAGGTGCTATGTTCAATCTTAGTTATGGGGGGCATAGCCCACCATCCCATGCGGGAGTCGAACCGGCAGCCTTGTCCTCAAGAGCACATGTTCTCACCAACTGAGCCATCCGGCCGCCCCAGGGCAGTTTTTAATGGCTGTTTACTTATAGGCTATTAGCAGAGTCCATGTCCAGTAGTTTCTACCCCCCACTGATTACTGGAAAACGTGCACAGGTGATTGGCTTGTATGCTGTGTAAAAATGGCTTGGTGTGTTCTGTGTGTGTTACATTGTCTTACTTTACAACACTTGCCCTACATCTTTCACTGCCCCCAAATTAGGAACCCTTGAAGGACAAGGCTCCTGTAGAATATTACAAGGTTGACTCTGTTACTGAGATATAATTCACGTATTTACCCTTCTGGCTTGTATTTTCTAAATAGCTTGTTTCTCAGCAGGACATTTGGAGATGAGAGCAAGGCATTTTGAGATTTCTTCTGAAGGAGAAAGGCCCAGAGCCCCAGATGCTATACTGCGAGGTCAGAGTTCAAGTGAGAGGAGACATGGGGTTAGGACTGAAGGTGCAGCTTCCTGGATAGGGGATTTCCTTCCAAGTGTTTTTTTCGGGGTGTGAATAAGAACTGGCATTTTTATGGAATGCCACACCATGCAGGATAGGAAAGGCCTGGAAAAGATTGAAGCTAAGTATTTATTATCAGTAGCCTACTTGTGCAAAAGAGAAATTGTGACCATAGGCTTTCTTGGGGGATTCTTTTTAAGAAGCCATGAGGTCTGCTGGGGTACCCACTGCAGAACGAATGCACCTCCAGATAGCTGAGTAAATTGGCTTGCTCTATAGATTGATTCAACATTGACAAATTTGAAAGGAAACAATGTCTGCCGAGTGACATTATTAACCTGTAATATCTTCTTGTTTTGGAATCGCAGTGGCAGGTCTTCCCGGTGTTAGGAATGTGACCCAGTTGCCTGTAGGAGTTGCTCAGCTCTTGCGAAGTGATCACATCTACTGTCGAGCAATCACTACTTCTGTCTCTTACAGACCCACCTGCCTGGTAGCTGTGGTTAGCTCCATTTTACCTGTCCTGAAGACAGGGAGGTCAGGTCGCTTGCTCAAGGTCACACAGCTGGTAAGCAGACCTAGCATCTGAACCTCAGGCTCCATCTTTCTTCCTTTTGCTGCACTTTGTTATGTCATCCACATTGTTCTGTGGTGGGAAAGCACATGACCAGTGTTTTTAGTAGCTTCAAATACTAAACAAAACTTGAAAGTAGGGGGCATTTTTATGTTTCTTTTTCTTTTGAAGTAACATTTTCTCAGGAGGGGTTCGACTGTAAAAATCCTCAGGAGACTTGTTTTCAGCGATTGCAGTGTTGCGTTGTATCCTGGAGACCTGAGTTCCTGTTGCTGAGGAGCCTCCTCTCGCTCAGCGAGGGCAGGTAGTCCCAGGGCCTGGGCATTTGCCTGCTGCGCCTCACCTCTTACTGGAGCCAAACTGTTACCGGATCCTGCTGCTTGCTGTAGCAACAGCAGGACTAAAATGCGTGTCCGTTCTGAGCACTTTCTTGACGTGTTTCCTGATTTTCTGGCCTCTTCTCCCTCCAAGTTGAAAATGCCTCAGGTAGAGATGTTCTTGCCTCCTCCCCCCCCCCCATGATCACCTGTTTCTAAGTCTCCATTTGTTTCCTGATGGGGGACTAGTCTTAACTTGCAATGGAAGGCTCCATTTCCCCCATTCATCTTTTCTCCCTCTCAGAAACACTCTGCCATCTCTTCTAAGTATCTGCTATCTCTTTCACGCATCTGAAGAGCTTGAACATTTAATTTGAGTGGGAAAAATGATTATTTAGCCAACATGTTTGTGCTAAGGGGAGGGGATGACATGGTAAGTATTTGCGTTAGAATTATGATTATTGAATACAGTAGAAAAAGTGGTTAAATTGAGGCCAAAAGTCACCTTTGAGGTAGGCCTTGAGGGATGAAGGAGTTCTCCAAAGTAGGGGGGCGGGGCCTATGGGGGGGGGCTTACATGTATCAGATTGTGGCGCTGTGTGTGACAGGAAAGTCTGGAGTGGGTGACACATCCAGGGTCTGTGCAGTAACGTCGTCAGTTCTGCCTTAAATGCTTATTTGGGTATGTGAATTAGTCCCAGTGGGATTGGTAAATTAGGGAACAATTTGCACATAATGGGAATTTTGCGTTTGCTGTGCATAATTTCTTCTATGGGAAATACTGGGTGGACACAGAAAATTGAACTTGGCTGAACCCAGCTACACGTAGACAGTGGACTGTCCACACCTCAAACATCTACCAGCTGTCTCAATTGATTTTGTTTTATGAGCCACACCCATGGTCACCTGATGGTACAACATTGCCCTACTTCCCAGTGACTCGGGAGCTGCAAACCTGGTAAGGTGCCATAGTTACAGGAGGATATGTAATGGCACTTTCTTAACCATTAATGTGTCAGACAGTGCTGCCGTGTTTGTTAGGTTCTTACCATGTGTGTCTGTGTATCTGTGTCATTGTCAAGAGTTGTTGAGGGTTGTACCCCTAAGTCCATATTTCCCAATAAGCCCTGTGGGTTTCTTGTATTGGTGAATTTGAGGAACACATGTATCTGTAACAAACTGCAAATGAGGCCAGAAAGGTTAGGGAGCGGGGGAGGTTGGCTGTACGATATGAAGGCAATGGGTGTGATCTTTGGGGAATATTTGCAGTTTTCTAGGGTTCTTAGAGCCTGGCCGTCTTTTTTTAGCTACCATGTGGAGACTTTTGTAACGTTCTCCCTACTGCCCCCTCTGCCTTTTCCGTGTGTCAGACCCTCCCTTTGTGGTAGGTGTTTGCTGCGAGCCAGGGACCACTGGCTTAGGTTTTACTCCCTAGGTGGTGTCAGGGAGTTGAAGACGGAGGGTCTGGATCTGGCTTCTGCTGCTTCCAGGCCCCGGTGTGGGGTCCCACTGCCAAGATGAGTGTCTCTAGAGCAGGGGTCAGCAAACTGTGGCTCGCGAGCCACATGCGGCTCTTTGGGTACATTCTGTCTCAAAAGTTTGCCGACGCCTGCTCTAGAGGATAGGGTTTGGCAGCCTTTTAGTGATACAGCTCACCTCCGTTAGTTAGCCAGCTGCCTGGGAGTAGAAGGGAATAACCTGCAGCGCTCTGGTATGCAAACGAGGGGGCTCCCACTGTGGGGCACCACTCAGCTGCCATGTGCTGTGGGTACAGGTCAGAGTCTGATTTGTAAGCTGGCTCCCTCCCTCAAGGCTTGCACCTTGGCCATTTTTAGTGGTTCTACAGTCACACTCGTATCCCACCCTGTGTTCAGTAGAGGCAGCCACGGTCCCTTTCTGGCTTTCTCTGCAGGCTCCATGCTTTGCAGACATTTATGTGAGCCCGGTGTGCATGCCTCCTTTGAGTTTTATGACCAAAGTGACCCTGACCCTGGAGAAGAGGGAGAGGTTGTTGATGGCCTCAGGACCTGAGGTTGACTTGCCCAGTGGCCTCTGGTATCTTTTCAGCCTCTGGAGGGATGGGTCCTTAGGTTTCCTTCATTATGTTACGCTTGCTCCTGGCCCCCAGGAATTGCCTTATCTGTATGACCAGCCCCCCTAGATCCTAAGCCACCATGGCTTGAAAGAGAACTAAAAATGAGGGGTCAGAGAGGTGGAGGAGCCCCCCCCCCCAACCTGGTTTCCATCTATGCTGCTCCTTCTGCAGAGGAGCAGTTTTAGGGCCGGTAGTCGGCTTCTGAGCTGCCCGTTCACTGGTCGGATTTGGTGTCTTTGAATCGCTCTCCCAGTCGTGAAGCTCCCCCAGATCAAATGCTGACACACCTCACCAGACTTGGCCGTTAGAGAATTGAGGTCCGCCCCAGGCCCCGGGCTTTCATTGGCAAGAGGGTCAGCCTAGCATTTGGGGGGAAGTACATAATCCTGCATGTGAAGCTGTAGAGAAATTCATAGGGATAGCGAGAGCCTGGGCACCAAGCACTGAGGGTCCCCTGCAGGTGAGCGAGCGCCTTACAGATGCGTCAGGGCTATGTCCACTGTAGACCTTTCTGACTATTTGAACTATTTGTCTATTTAAAATAGAGGAATAGGTCAAGTTTCTTTTTTTTTTTTTTTACTGTGGTAAAATATATATAACAAAACAGACCATTTGAACCACATTTAGGTGTGCAGTGGCATTAAGTAAACTCACACTGCTGTGTAGCCATCACCACCGTCATCTCCAGAACTTTCTCATCTTCCCAGATAGAGCTCTGTTCATTAAACATGACTCCCCCTCCCCTAGCCCCCGGCAGCCACCATTCTGCTTTCTGTCCCTGAATCTGGTGGCTCGCGGTGCCTCGTATAAGGGGAGGTGTGCAGTGTCTGTCCTTCTGTGACTTATTTCACTGAGCCTGATGTCGAGTCTCCAAGGCTCTTCCATGTTGCAGCACGCAGTCAGGGATTTCTTTTTAAGGCAGAGTAGTATCCTTGTTTTTATCGGTACTTAATTTTTCGTAGATTTCTGGGAAGCTGAAGTCCATTCTTAATTCTCAACCCTTGCATCGTAAGGCTAATGTCACAAACAAAAGCAGAGCATCTCTAAACCTGCACAGCTGTGGTTTTTTCTCTACTAGAAGCAAAAGGCATTCCTGATGGCCCTACGTTGGGAGGAAAGGAAGGGCTCTCCTGAGTGACAAGTCACTAAGCAGGTGTGAGGGCCCCTGGGACTTTGCCAATTACTGCTGGTAGCTTCCTCAGAGTCGGGAGGTGACTTTGTGACAGACCTAGTCACTGTCACTGCAGGCATGGTCTGCTGCTTTCTGGGTTTGCTACTTTCTGGGTTTGCTAAGGCCACATGTCTGGGCCTGCCCAAAGCTCCAGGGGCCTGTGGTGAGGCTGTTGAGCCTCCCCTGGAAGTACATGGCTGCCCTTCAGCGTCTAGGCCTAAACCGGGGGCCAGCCATGTTCCTTGTCTGGGCTGAACTAAGCCTTGCTGAGGGCCACAGGCACGTGTCCCAGCTCTCCCTGGGGCTGACTGCTGGCTCCACTCTCACGTACGCAAAGAGCCATGGTTTCTGGCCCTTTGGACATAGTGCGCAGTGTGACTTCACCTCCCCATTGTCTTTTCACTTAGAGCACGTGCTCTGTGGGCGCCTATCATGTTCACTGTGTTTCTAATCCCTGGGGCAGTGCTTGACCCAGAGCGGACATTGTCAGTAGTCACTGAGTTAATCAGCGGCAAGGCCACCTCCAGAGTGCCTTCATTCAGCATGAACAGCTGCGAGGTGGGGGCACTGCTCCCGGTAAGGACGAGACTGCGGCCTTGGGGCTGGTGCTGCCCTTTATACAGCAAGCAAGAGGCTCTTCTCTTAAGTACTAGGCTTGGCCGTCGGTGTGACTGTTGCACAAAGTACCATTGAAGAAGCTTGGAAATGAAAGTTACTGGCAACTTGAACGCTCCTGCCGGGTTCCTGGGACGGCAGGTTGTGCTGGGCACCAGGCATTGCCAGGGCCTTTGGGCAGCACACAACAGCAGGCCTGAAACACGCTCGGTCTTGACCATGTGTTCTGTAATCCTGCTTTTGAGATGTCATTGAGGGAAGTACGTGAAATAACATGGAGTGACACTACGTTGATGGTTTAAAAGGGGAAGGCGTGAGCCTGCCAGTGCCTGAGCAGCCTGACAACGTGGCACTCCCTGATGAGGGTGTGTGGGACATAGGCTTCTCCCTGCCATCACCACGCCGCCACACAGCCTGCCCTGGCCAGCGCGTCCAGACTCACAGGAGAGACTGCTCGTAGCTGCCATACACTTGTCACACGGAGTGAGTGACTGATGTGTGCACAGCAACTCCCTGTCCGAAGGGGCGTAGGCAGCTGCCTTAGAGCCAGGATGGCGTGGCACTCGTGGGACAAGTGAGAGGAATCAGCTGTGGGACTGTCAAGGGTGACTGACTGGCAGCCTTGGCTGCCCTGGCCTGGCATGTGTCTGCGGGGGGCTGGGCCGGCGGGCTACAGACTGGCCACCTCCTGTTGGTGGGGCACCCCTCCCCTACCCCGCTTTCTGCTGACTCTTCCTTTCTCGGCTTGCGGGAAAGCCGAGGCGTGAGAAACAATGACAGAATCCGGCTCCAGTCTTAACGCTTCCTGCTTCCTGCCTGCCTCAGTCTGTGTCTAACGGTTATGTGTGTGGGCATGCTCACAGAACCATGCCCACGTGTACGCTGCATGCATGTGTGATGGCGTGTGTCACACTCCTCCTCAAGCTGAGGGGCCGTCTGATGTGCCAGCCTCTAACCATACAGAGTGATTGAGGGGACCGTTCAGCCTTTAAGAGCACAGGAGGCACCAGCGACATCAGCTTCTCTCCCTGTACCCAGCCCGGCACCTCTCGTCCTGCCTCACTGCCACTGCCCCCAAGCCACACGCCTTTCTTCTTGCCAGGTTCCTCTGTCCCCTCCCCAGTCTGCATTCTGACCTGTTCAGTCCCCATCCGCCCTCAGAGCACACAGGTGACAGATCTCTCTGATTGCATCTAAAACCTTGACTGTGCTGCCCTTGGGGTGTGTGTGAGGCTTGTCTGCTGCCTGCTTCCCCCTTCTGCATGCCCCGCCCACCAGCTTGTTTCCTTAGCAACTCCCATTACATTGGGCCTCGTCTTTAGTCACTTCCTCTAGGCAGCCCCGCTTGACCTGCAGTGTGAGCCTCCCTTGCTTGGTCACCAGCGACCAGCTTCCTGGGGCCGGCTCAGTGCCCTCACCCTGGCCCCCGTCCCTCCTGTTCACTGCTGCTGCCTCCTGGGGATGCAGCTTTTGTCTTAACTGGTACCTCCAGGTTCTCCAAACTGGGCTTCTGATTTTTTATTCTCTTTACAAGCTCGCCTGTCTCCCCCTGACTCCCCAACTTGTCACACATTCTGCACTCTCTGCTCACCTTTCAGCTGTCTTTGGACCTTTCTGCCTGGACATCGCAGGTCCAGCATTTCTAACTTTAAAGTCGTCTGCCCTCAACACCTGTTTCCCTTCCCTTCGCCAAGTTTGGTTTTGTAGGTACATCTGACTCTGGCATAGTGTCATTTAGAGTACGGGTTCTGGTGTCAGAACGCCCTGGTGTAAATCCAGGCTCTAGTGTTGACTAGCCATGGAGTTTGGGCAAGTTCACACCCTGGTCATCGTTACCAGGTGACAGGAGGGTCACGTGAGATGGAGGTTGGAAAGGAGGTGCCTTGCACATGGTAGAAGTTACCTCTAAGCTTTAGCTGCTGTTGTTAGTGTCATTATTATTCCGATGGCCTCTATCGTCTGCATGACCCGGCACCTTTGCAGTTGGTGAAGGCTCCCCTTCCCACACCCCCTAGCCTCTCCGCCCTGCACGCTGCCCTTCCACGTGCCACGCTGGTCTGGAAATGCCCCTTTGTTCACACCTGCGCCCCTGGTGTAATCCAGCCCCTTGGCGGGCTTCCCTAAGGCGGCCTTCCAGCTTCCTATGTCCTCTGACCACTGGCCCTTTCCATCGCCAGAGGAAGAAGGCAGGGTTGGAAGGCATAGCTGGATGCCTGGCCTTGGGTGTGGGGGTTGGGGAAGGGTGGTGGGAGTAGAAACTGGGCCAAGCAGCAGGGTCTCGCTGGGACTGCAGGGCTGCAGGAGGCTAGTTTCAGAGGGCAGGGAAGGAGTACAGGCCGAGGTGCGGGGGCACCTCCGGGACAGTCACAGGACTTACCAGCCGTGTTGCAAGCGTCCACGTGAAGCAGGTGGGAGGTCAGAGGCTTAGGGACCATCCCAGGTATATGCACCCAGCTGTTGGCCTTTCTCAGCAGACGGGGCTCTCCCTCCTGTCAGTGACATTTTGATCTGTCTTCTCAATTCAAAGACACGTCATTGGGGTCGATATTTTTTTGCCACAAAAGCTGTCCCGTGGGTGTACACCCAAATGTAGGACACTTCTTGGGCCAGCAACAGGATCATGTTGGAGCCGGGGCTTGTGGCGGGCCTGGGGCTGGTCTTCGTGAGTCCTGCAGGGCTGTTGGGGCACCTCCCCCTTCTGTGCAGACCTGATGGACAGTCTTCGTCCTGGCCAGAGCCTTCCTCCCTGAACCCCAGTCTGAGTTGAAGGCTCAGGGTGTGAGGTGTTGCTTTGGGAAGGATTTGTGCCCCTCTTGAGTGGGAGCACATGTGGCTCCTGGTTTGGGCAGCCTGAGGATTGTCAGGAGATGTCAGGCCACAGGCCAGTGAGTGACACGGTGAAGACATTATCCATCTCAGCTCCTTGAGGTCAGAGTGGATAATGAGGTGCTGGCGGGCCAGGGGTTGTGCAGGCTCAGTCCACAGGTGCTGGAGAAGGCTCGGCTGGCTGGGCAGCCCCTCCCAGGGGCAGGCCTTTTCAGGCCCCTCCTGGTCCTGTGTTCCTTTCACACCCAGCTCGCGCCTGCCTCAGCTGCCTTCACTTTCGAATTCCCCGTGCAGGAGCCGCACTGCCAGTGAGCGAGGTGGGGAGATGGGCAGCCCATCCCGCAGCCCTTGCGGGTGGTGCTCTGGGCCAAGCACTCAGGTGTGCTGCTCTCACACGGCCAGCAGGCCACTGTGGCAGGTGCTGTCCTGTGTGGAGCTAAGGAAACGCACCGCCCCCAGGGTCACAGGGAGGGGCGTGGAGGCGCCTGACTCCAAGGCCAGATTGCCTCCACAGGCCAGCTTAGGAGTGAGGACTTGACAGGACAGGGCCCAGGGAAAGGCCGCTGTGGTCAGCGGTGTGTTTAGAAAGATGGGTTGGCAGCAGGGTTGAGGGGTACCAGGAGGTGGGGGGATCTGTTAGGAGGAGGCAGTGGCCCTGGAGATGAAAGGGTGGTTCTGAGTGGTCCTGTCATTTCTGCCACCATGATCTCTCTCTCTCACTGTCTCCTTTCCAGCTCTGAGGCCATTGTCCTAGTCCAGTGGTTCCCATGGTGTGGCCTCTGGAGCAGCACCGTCATCGCCTGGGAACTTGTTAGAAATGCAGAATTCGAGCCCCTTCCCAGACCTGCTGACTCAGAAACTGGTTTAACAAGCGCTTAAGTTTGAAAACCATTGTCCTTGTCCTGAGCGACCCTAGTACCGCTCCTCAGGCTCAGGGCTCCTGCACCGGCTACAGCCTGGCGCCTGGCTCCACCTATTGCTTCTCTTCCCGTTTGCCCTTACACACTGCACCCTGATGCTGAAGTAGCTGTGGTCGGCCACCCCCTCCCAGTGAAGCCCAGGGCCTCGCTCTCCAGCAGCCTCTGCCCCTCCCTCCGCTTTCTGCCCTTCCTGGGACCTGCCTGGCTCCCCCGTCCACACTTTCTCAGTTTGTCTCCACTCCCCCGTTGCCAATGACGGAAGTCTCAGCTGGGCATACAGGGTGAACCAGGGTGGGTGTCTCTCGTGTCCTCAGCTAAATGATCAGCTCCTCCAGAGGGTGACAGCGACGGCGGGGAAGAGCCAGGGACTCTGGGCTCTGCTCCAGCCTGGGGAGCTCTGTCCCTGCCCAGTTGTGAGGAGTCCATGAGGTCACATGTGGCAGCCTTGATTCTCATCCTTTCCCAGCAGCTAGCACAGTGCTCTGCGTGTTTTCACTGCCAGGAAGGAGGGCCGGATCACGGGGTTTGGGGCCAGTAGTTTGGTGTGCTACAAGAATGTGTACTTCCTACGACGGCTGGGGTCAAGGACACGTTGCATCGTGTTTGGTGAAGGCCCGGCCCGCGGTCACCTGAGCGAGGCTGATGGTGCAGACGGCTGTGGTCACCAACTTGACCTCTTTGTGTTTCAGGACTCGAAGATACGGGGAGTCTGCTGGGCTGCAAATGCCCGTGCTAGCTGGAGGGTGAGGAGCCAGCAGGCGTGAGCGGTGGGGAGCGCTGGGCTTCCCGCAGGCCGTGGAACCGGTCACTTCCTCCGTGGGGCAGCCGCCAAAGAGCACAATGAGCACGGTGAGTGGTCAGTGGGGGTGTTTCCTTCTCAAGGCCGAGCAGCGCCCTTGCTCCTGTGGCACATTAGAGACGGTGGCAGATGGTGCTTCTGGGTCACCCCGGTTCGGGACCTCGGTACTCATGCCAACTTGCTTGTCATGTTGGGGTGCTGTGTCTCGCGTGGAGTTCAGGAAGAAGGCGAAGGAGTGGCTGAGGGTGTTGAAATTCTGTACGTGCAGAGTAGCTGGCGGTGTCCTAGCCACACTAGGGCTCTGGTTTATTTCACCACTTGTAACCCAGTTTTCCGGGTCTTGGTCCAGTGCGAACGCAGTGGCTGTAATCTTTGGTGAGAGTTCTCTCACTTGGCAACTGAAGCTGCAAGTCATTGTGACTGCGTTCAGAGCTTTCATCAGACTGCAGAGCAGCTCTGATTTGTCCTAACTCAGGTGTCACCTGGAGCTCCTCGAGCTGAGAGAATGTTGCCTGGAGGCCCCCTCCCCATTTACTCCCTACTGACAAAGTTTCTTTAATGGTCTAAACTCTGAACGGAGTTCCTGTCGGATGGACCAGGTGTGAAGCAACCAGGCTCCAGAGGTGCTCTTGAGTGGCGGTGGGCAGGTGGGGGCAGGGCGGGGTGAACAGGAGTTGACTCCCTTCAGATTCCGTTCGCTGCCCCTTGTCCCTTCCTGGCCATGCCCAGCCCCCACTGCGCTCCAGGCCCACTCAACTTTCATACACAGAAGGACATTCATATCGCTGGACCAACAGTTTAAAACGCAGATGATCTGCCACATTGTCCCTTATCTGCAGATTGCCACTGCAGCTCCCCTGTAGGGAACGTGTCCTAAGCTGGGTACCTCCCCTCTGAAGGCCACGCTCTGCCCAGGCAGGATCTGGACAGACAGCAATGTAGCCTGTTTATGAGGGTATGTGAAGAAGCTGGTTCAAATGTCCTCAGAGTGGTGTGAGTAACTCAGGTGCTAGAGGTCCCACAGGGGGGTTGTGACAGAGCTGTGGGCCCTTGAGGGCTCTGCTGGCAGAAAGAAGGGGAGCCGTGATGAGAGGGGTTCTCAGATATGCCAGGTTTCTCCCTGGGCTGAGCTCACAGCCACCTCCTCCCTGCCCTGGGGGAGTGCAGGTGGAGTCGCAGGACTTGGCAAGGGCCCGTGGCTGCTGCAGGACTCGCTCAGTGGGGACCAGAAACCACACAGATAGCTGCAGTGGGGCACAAAGAAAGGCGCCTGTTGAGTGCTGTCTACTAAGAAAGATTCGGCCCCTTTCAGGGGGAGGATGGCGCAAGGACCACATCAGAGACAGTGGGGTGGGCGTGAAGGAGCCCTCAGTAGTCTGGGCTGCTGGGGAACCCCCTAACACCAGGCCTCCTGGGATGGTTCCCTGTCTTTAGAGCCACCAGAAGGTTCTAAACCCAGCTCCTTGATAGAATCGCTGTTGGAATGCCGGTGGAAACAGGCTTCTGTGTCCCCTAGCGAGGGCTGGGCTGGGTGAAGGGCCTCACACAGGTGTCAGCGACAGGGTCTGGTCCTTCCAGACTGTCCAGGGACACAGTGCCTCGTAAGGCCTCTTAGGGTTAGGGTAGTGATGGCCTTGCCTGTCTTTGTTCATTGCTTTGTCATTATGACAGCTCTGCGAGGTGGGGCTTGTAAAGTTCACACTCAGTAGTTACGGAGCAGCCCAGGTCAGCCATTGTGAAGCATAGCTGGCCCAGTGCCCTCGCAGAGGGGACGGCATGGAACACAGGAGCCAGGCTGGGCCGGGGCCGTTCAGAGGAGTGGAGTGACAGCTCAGTTGGGAGATTCTGTCGCCTCCTGGTTCTCTTGAGGAAGGCAGCAGGGGGCTTGTTCTCATCTTGAGTTTCGGTCGGGGCCATCCAGGTGTGAAATGCTGGTGGCTGGAGGTGTGGTGGACCAAGGGCTGGGGCAGAGTCTGTGCTGCAGAGGCCTGTGTAGACGCTGGGTCCTCCCAGGCAGCCACTGGGAACAGGCTGAGGAAACCAGTTGAGTTGTTGGGGGCGACTGGTAGGGGTAAGCCACCTGTGGTATATTCTAAAAGGTGAGAGGCCAGATTGCCCAAAGGAAGACCTGCTTTCCACAGTGGGCAGAAACTTGGGGAACTGGGGGTTTTGGGGGCTAAGAAAAAAGGCTCCATGAGGCCAAACACAAATTCAAGGAAGGCAGGTCTGTGACTTTTGGTTAAAAGCAGGGTTTCTGGCCAAGTCCTGGCCTGGACCAGGGGCTTGCACTTGCGATAGGCCAATCATTGGACAGGACAGGCTTTGCTTGATGGAGCTCGTATTCACTATGTGTTTAGGGTGATTTCTCTGTAAAGATTCAGCTGTAGAATTACAGATTTTGAGAGGACCCCCACCTCAGCTCTGCTCCCTGGCCTGCTCCTCTTTTTTTATGAGTTGAACCATTCCTGTGCTGACCTTTTTATTCTTGCTGAAATCCTATCAGTCAGGAGCTCATGTGACTTTTCTTTCCCCTGGGTACCCTCAGAGAAAGCGCCGTGGAGGGACAGTAAATTCTAGACAAGCGCAGAAGCGAACTCGGGAAGCAGCCTCCACCCCTGAGATGGCCTTGGAAGCAGAGCCTATAGAGCTCGTGGAAAGCGGTGAGACTGCTGGGGACCCCGGGGCAGTGGGGTGTTGGTGTGGTACAACGCACGTGGGCGTGGGTGACCATACACGCTGGAGCCAGTCGATGCCCAGCGCTGCTGCCTACCAGCCATGGGGCCTAGTGTAAGTTACACAGCCTATCTGAGCCTCAGTTTCCTCATCTGAAATGGGGGATGAGTAGTACCGGCTGCATAGAGTTGTCACGACACTGAAACAGGTTGGAGATGCAGGGCACGCTACGCAGCGTTGGCTTACGTCGCAGTTTTGTCAGACCTACAGTCTCAGACTTGCCTGTGCTAACTCCTTCCAGCTAAATGGGTAGCAGCTGCCCCCTGATGCCCTAGGAGCTCACGGCCAGCCAGCCTCTGGGGCCAGGCAGCAGGGAGGCGAGACGCCTTGGGCCGACTCACTGTTGGCAAGCGTGTCTGCCATTTGCTTGGCCTGTGAACTGCTCAGCTTTCCTCCTGTTTTGTTTTTTTGGGGGGAGGCGGGGAATTGGGGGAGGGGACCAGCCAAGTCGTTGTTCTTTAGTCTTAGTTGTGGAGGGCGCCAGTCGCCATCTGGCTGCCCGTCGGCAGCTCGTGGCCTCTAAGCTCAAGGTGCTGAGTTCAGTCTTAGTTGTGGGTGGACGTAGCCACCATCCCATGCGGGAGTCGAACAACCAGCCTTTTCGTTAAGAGCGCACGCTCTATCCATTGAGCCATCTGGGCGGCAACTCAGCTCAAGGTGCCGAGTTCAGTCTTAGTTGCAGGTGGGTGTAGCCCACCATCGAACAGGCAATCTTGTTAGAAGCACGTGCTCTCACCAGCTGAGCCATCCTGCCACCTTTGGCAGCTCAGTGACAACTCAGCTCGGGCGTAGCGTCACTGGCCCATGTGAGACTCGAACCAGTGGCCCTGTTGCTCAGAGCTCTCACTCTTGAGCAAGCTCTTAACCAACTGAGTCCCTCGGCCAGCCCATTCCCTCCTCTGGTCTTTTCATTAAAACAGGACATGGCCTCAGAGCAGGCATGGGCCGGAGCTGTCTGGGTTGAAGGGAATTCGTTGCAGGCAGGGCCAGGCTGGACTTCTGCCGCCAGGGAAGTAGCAAGTGACCTGAATTGAGACCCTTTACTCTGCATATAGCAGTCAGATTGCTTTCATAACTGCTGCCTGCAAACTGACTTGACAGAGAAGCGATTTCTCTGAGGTGCATTTTGGGTTCCCTTCAGAGTACTGAAGTTCTCATTTTTGTCTCTGTCTCTGAGTTTCACTTCTGCCCATGAAACCCTAAAACCCTGGAGGCTGCGCCCAGGGCCCCACCACCCAAAGCTGGTGCCCGGTGGCTGCATTCTGCCCTTTGGAGGCTGGTACAGGGTCCTTGTCATCCCACAAGCCGTCTTACCTGTGTGCGGGCGTCTGTGCCAGCTGCCCACGGAAGTGCTGTTTTTATCTGTAAGAGCCAAAAATTGTGTCCACCAGGAAGGGACTAGTCTGTAAAATTCAGTTTATCAGTATATAGACTATACTTTAAATAAAGAGCGAGGTCCTTTTATATAAATGACATTGAACATCTTTGATATAGTGTGGTTTTCATTCCTGTGGAACTTTAATACAAGGGAAAAAAAAACAAGTGTGAATATGCTAAATGTAAATGTATTACAGACCACCTCCCCCAAATACTAAGCAGATGCCCTTTGCAAAAGTCCTACCCTCACACCTTTGAATGTTAGTAATAGAACCAGTGGATGTAAATTCTCTTTCTGTTCATGTAAATGAACATTGTCCTCTGCCTTTCGTCCCTACTGGCCAGATGTAAGTGCCGGTGACTGTTTGGCACACGCCCTTCTCCACCCTGTCTTGTGCTCGCGTGGACACCACAGTGGACCTTAGGGCTCAGAGGCAAGCTGCAGGACAGGCTCGACCCACTGTGGTGTGTCGGGGTCCTAGGGGACCCTGACAGCGTAACTGATGAAGGTTCTGAGCTACGTGCAGCTTGAGGCCTGTGGGCAAGTGGCAGCCATCAGCTTCCCGCTGCTGGGGGAGCAGGGGTTCAGGTGGTTTGGTCCAAGGGGAAAGCCCTGGGCTCAGCGAGCCTGATCCCTCCCCAGAAGCCCTGCCTCTCCCCTGTTAAGGAGGAGCATGGGGGAGGGGCACCGGGGTCTGCTGAGTGACAGTGAGGCCACAGGGGTAGGGGTGTGCCTGCACAGACACCCGGCCCCTGCCCCAAGGGTTCCTTTGAAAAAGCCACCTGCCACCACTCACAGCCAGTCTGGAAGGGCATTGGTGGGCAGTCACCCCTGAAAGGGGATTGGTCCCCATGCCCTTGGCATTCTGTACTTGGCGGGGGTCCCGGGGAAGAAGCCTGTGCTGTTTGTGACCATGTTAATGAAGCTTGGGGCATATGCTCTGTCTTTCCTCCTAACGTTTATTAAAATGCTTTGTTTGGAAGCTGGAGACGAAATAGTGGACCTCACCTGTGAATCCCTAGAGCCCGTGGTCGTCGACCTGACGCACAACGACTCTGTCGTGGTAAGTGTTTGGATTGTGGCCCCTGGTCACAGGTTATGGGTTGAAGAAATGTGTGTGTTTGATGACTGGAGCCCAAGATGGAAATGTTTTGGGAAAGTTTTTGTTGCCTGTGGACGGTAGACCTGTGTGTCCCTGACCTTTCCACAGCTGACACAAAGCCCTTGGGGTCAGGCTCCCAGGGGCTCGTCTCTCTTTACCCCC